TCCCTCCGCTTCCGGCGGCGAGAGCTCTTCCGCTTCCCCCGGGAAGTCAGGCTGTTGCGCTGGTCTTCACTGACTGGGCCCGCACTACGTCTCCTGTCCGTCACCTCCTTCCAAACGCATGAGGTCTCGTAGAAACTGATTTAAAAATTACAGAGGCTCTGCAAAGCGAGTTTCAGACATCTGTTCGGCCCCTCAGAATTTTTTACCCTAAAAAGGCTCGGGCAGACCGCGGCTACTACGGCCCCTCCCTTCACTAAGCCCTTTTCCCTTGTGCGAAAAGCGAAAGACGTTCCTGTTCTGGATGCTCCGGCCCAGGCATTTCTTCTCTGGTTCTCCCATGATGACCTTACCCAACGGTATTGTAATGATGTTCTTTAGCTGTGCCCTCCTCTTAACTGAAAACACTTCCACTGGAGGGCAGAGCCCGATTTTAGTTATCACAGTAGCCCGACACCACATAGTGACTGGCCTACAAGTGCTTAGTAAGTCGGTATGGTAAATTTGTCATTCTCCTTATAATGAGAGAGGAAAGCGACTTCAGCCTGATATGTTAAAGCACAATTCACTGAACAAACATTTTTTTGAATGTGAACATGAAGTCTCTCTTGCAAGCCCTGAGTCTAATTGTGGAGAAAGAGACATAAATATAATACAATATCCTGACAGGTAGAAAATATATAATAGCAGAGGTATGGTGGAAGATAAATTCAATTTTGGACATACTTGATTCTGAATAGAGTGGAGACGGATACAATGGAATGCCAGGGGCTGGGCGCTAGGCGCCTTGAGCCCCAGGTGCAAGTAATAAGGATGTGCCTTGACTGTAAAGAAGATAAAAACTATAGTAAAACCAACTAATGTGGTTTGCTTTTAATTATCATGCGTGTCAGCAAATTCTCAACAGTATCAAAAATTAAGTTTTCCTTCCCAAACAAAAGCTTTTTTCAGTCTTTCTTCTAAACAGTTGCTATAGTTACTGCTGAGTTTTACAACAGTCATGCACCACTTAACAGGGATACATGCTGTGATTTCAACATTGTGCCAACATCAATGTACTTAGACAACCCTACATGGTATAGCCTACTCCACATCTAGGCTAGGTGGTATAATTTATTGTTATACAAAGGAAGAAAAATAATTTTCTCTACCTTCTGGATTCTTGACTGAGATATCCCTGTAGTAAAAGACAGTTTAACAGGAGAAAAACAAAAAGTTTAACAATGTGTCTACCTAGTGTTAAAAAACAATTCAATTGAACAAACTTGAAGATCTAATTGGTTTTAATTAAAGGATTCATGAATGAGGCAGCATCCCATCTAGCTGCTAGAAGGGTACTCTGATGAGATGTACAAAATGGAAGGTTTTTATAGGCAAAAAGAGAGTGGACTAAGAAGTTAAAAGTGGATCAGGGTGGAACTAAGAAATTAAAAGAATGGATTATTTCAGGCAAGGACAGATTACCTCACTAGTGTTTATCAGGAAATTACATATTGATTAAATCTAAGTTTGGTATCGGGGGTTTTCAGCTCAGGTGAGGCCATTCTAGGCCTGTGGTTTGTTTTTTTCTTTGTTTGTTTTTTTAACACTGGGAAGGACTCAGGAAAACTAAATAACTTACCAAAGTGGCTGAAGCCACCACCTAAAATACCATCTTCAGCTGAAGAGGAAAGAAGTTGTGGCTAGGAGGAGTCCTTATGGGAGGTTACCAGGAAAAGCACAGTAAACAAGAGTAAGCTTGTTATGCAGATTTAGGTCGTTTTCTGCATTCATATGAGTTTCTGGAAGGTCAATCGCCTTTTCCTGGTACAGCTAGGGAGGCACCCTTACATCTGGAGATTTCCTTTACAAATGTATTTTACAAAGGATAACTCTTACTTGGTTTCCAGAGCTTCTTCCATGTCTACTGTTTCTTAAAATTAACCAGCCTAAAATAATCCTAATGCCAAAGACACATATTTTGGGGTGACAAATTCTGTTCCTCTACAGCTCATAAGCTACAAACCTGTACAGCATGTTGTTGTAGGCAACTGTAACACCATGTTATTTGTGTAATGTGTTGCTCTCAGATGCCTTAATATACGTGGTCTGTCCTTGACTGAAAGGTTGCTGTGTGGTACATGACTGTATGTAAGCTTCAGATTGACTTGTTTCCTCAGTTCAAATGTAAATCTTTTGAGATTTCCACTTCCAGCAAAGATGGAATAACAGAGATCAGATTTACCTTTCCAACTGAAACAACCAAAAAGCCAGATAAAAAATATGAAACATCACTTTTCAAGACATTTGATATAAGGCAAAGAATGGCTATCCCTGAGAGATGTACAATAAATGGGGTAAGCCCCCAACCTGCCCCCCACCCCCACCCCACCCAGTGTACTGTCTTTAGGATATGTACAGGTAGAGGAAACCAGGAAAAGCCAGGTGGTTTTCCTGAGTTGAGAGGAAGATGCAGGGAGATTGGGGAGGCCAAAGCAACTAGAGTTCACAAGGAAGACTCCCTAGTAAAAAGAGAAAATGAGAGTCGCTCAAAGAGAAAACCCTAGCTGCTTATTAGTTTCTTGTTGATTTTCAGCCATTTGACTATTTTGTGTCCTAATGTGGTTTGCTTTATATTTATCTGGCTTTGGTTTTACTGAGCTGCTCTAATTTGTGGGTTGGTGTTTTTCATCAATTTTGGGAACTTTTTAGCCAGTGTCTTCAACTATTGTTTTTGCTCCATTCTCTGTCTTTGCGCCTCTGAGATTCCAATTACATATGTAAGATTATTTGACCTTATTCAGCATGTGTTTTACACTTTGTGCCATCTTTTTTTATCTTGATGCTTCAGTTTAAATATGTTCTGTTGACCCGTTTTTGAGTTTACAAATTATCTCTTATATGGTCTCCAGTCTGATGTCAAATCTATGCATGGAGTTCTTAATTTTTAACATTGTATTTTGTTTTATAATTTCATTTGTTTTTGTTTTTTATAAATTCCAGTTATCCATTTGAAGTCTCCATCTTGTAATCCATTTTTTCATCTTTTTCTCCATTTTCTTTATCTTATTTATCATAGTTTTTCTTTCGGTCCTTGTCTATCTTTAACATTTTGATAATTTGTTAGCCTTGTTCAATGGTGCATTTTTCTTACTTGATTATCAGTCATATCGTTTTGCCTTTTCACATGCTTGGTAATGTTTTCTTGTGTGCCTCACAATGTATATAAAAGGATTGTAGAGCCCCCACACGATATCTCCCAGTGAGAATTCCCCCTTCCCTCTATTAGGTTGATAGAGTGAAGGGCTGATCATCATAATATAATCAAGAATTTAGCTGGATTTTGGCAAGGTTGCCCTTTAATTTAGATTCATTCTACCGCTGGGTCATCCCTATTCTTCAGAGGTAGCCCAAGCTTTTGATAGAAAACCTCTGTTTCCTCAACCCTGAAAGACTACAGGACATTCAGTTTATTCCTTTAGAGATGTCGAGCTTAGTTCTTTTGCCTCAAGCCTATATATGTCTTGAGGGAGAGATTAGCCATGTGTTAGAAGAGGCCATGTCCCTCCAATGGGGCACAGTTTCCTAAGCACCATGACTTTTCAAAACTTTTGGCCCAGTCCCACAGCCTTCCAAACAGGTCTTGAACCTAGCAAATGCCCACACAGCAAACCAGCCAAGCACTGGGACTCCTGATTTCCAATCTGTCCTAGTAGTCCCACATGACCACCATAAATTCCTCTAGGTTTTTTCTTCCTAGGTTAAGACTGAATCTCAGCCTACACCTAGAATCTAGCAAACGTTTCCAGAAAAGAAAACTAGTGACTATCAAGTCACCTTAGAATGGCTCTCCCCTCTCTGGAATTTTAGTTTACCTAAAATTAGGTATCATGTCCTTGTCACTTCATAGTTCTCCAATATATTTTAGAATATGGTATTTTTAACTTATTCTGTACTTTCAAAAGCTGTTATAGCAGGAACATTGTCCTGCAACCTACTACATCCTACTTGGAAACAAAAGTCACTTGTAAAACTCAGTTATATCATGTCTACAATGCCTAAGGGTATAAATGATACCTTGTTTATAACTATAATTATAACATTTCCTTAGACTTAGACATTTATATAGCCTATATAGAAATTTATATAGGTTTATTGCTCCCAAAAAACATTTTTTCCCATTTTTCTAGCTATTATTTGCTTGCCCTAAGTTTGTCCTCTAAATTTTTTTAAAAAATAATAATTTAGCTCTTACTGCACACTCAATATTTTATGGGCCTAACATTTAAATTTCACAACAAACCCCTGAGGTGAGAATTTTCCCATTTTTATAAATGAGAAGACAGAAACTAGATTTAGTCAAAGGCCTGAAGTCATACAGTTAAATCTATCTGATTTTAAAACCCCTAAAAGATACACTATTTTGACTTCCTTTCAGTATTCTAAAACTGTGTTATAAAAACTAATAGCCACTAGCCATATGTAGCTATTTTAATAAAATTAAAAATGCAGTTCCCCAGTTGCCCTAGCCACATTTCATATGCCCAACAGCTACATGTGATTGAAGGCTGCCGTAATGGAGGTAGCCTTTATGATCTATGTATGGATCATTTCTATCATTGCAGAAAGTTCTACTGGAAGGCATTGCTCTTAGAAGATTTTTAAAGATCCATGAGAACAATATATTCTGACAACCCTAGATTGACCACCGCTGGACTTCTTTTCGTGTGACTTTTAAATAAAAGTCCTATTTGATTACAGTCATTTTTCGGTACCTATTACTTATAGTAAAACTCTTAATAGAGATATAAACCAATACCCAAAAGTATATTTCTTTCTTTTTAAATCCCCTTTAGGAAAATGACTATCCAAATTATAATGCACAGAGTGTCTCATATTTCGAGTTGCATG